GTACGAACACCTATCTCGTGGGCGTAAAAAGTCTGCTGACCTTGAACTTTACCGCGGCGTATAAAGTCTGCCCGTGCGAACGCACGCTAAATGTTTTTGCAGACTTGCTCTACATCTGTGCTAAATTTAATCGAGAGGTGTCCAGCCCTTTATGCTGTAAACTGTAAAAAACACACATGCATATGGATTTATTTTGTAAGATTCCTTACGGATAATCCTCCGATGTCATATCCAGCTTAACAATTGGGTTCTGGTTGAGGTTGAGATAGAGCAGGTTTTTGGTCTCTTCCAGCTCCTGGGGTACTGCGGTCAGCAGGTTGTCGCTGAGGTCGAGCCGCTCCAAGTAGCGTGGCGTGTGCAGGAACTTGTCCGGGATCTCTGTCAGCTGGCAGCTGCGCATGCGCAACACCTGGTACATACAGTATACTATTATACGACAAACTCTAGTCTAAAGACGCTATCGTGATAGATTCTGTCGGTACCAATTTAACAACTTCTGATTTATCATACTCCCGTAGGGTTGGCACAACAGGTTTTTGTCCTTCAAATAACTCTATCATCCGTCATCTGTCATTACTCCCTTCTTGATCATGTCACCTTTCACGCAATCCATCCATCTCTTTCTAGGTCTACCTCTACCGATGTCGCCGTCTGTCGCTACCAATTAACACAGATATACAATACTATTCATCTTCCTATCCCTTCACGTCTGTACTCTTCCTTTTTACCCTTTCCATTACTTCTTTATTATAAAAGAAGGTAAATGTTACTTCTAAAATTATTAGTAATTCTGTACTGCCGTTTCGGTAAGTACCTTAAGCATAGGCAAGCTGGAGATAGCAATGAGTGTGACGTGGTCGATGGTGGCGAGCGGATTGCCGCTGAGGTCGAGCTCGGTCAGCTCCGGCAGGTGCTCGAACAGGTCCTGATGCAACGAGTGCAGTTCGTTGTGCGCCAGGCTCAGCTTGCGCATTGCTGCTAGTGGCTCGTACTCCTCGGGGGAGAAGCGACCCTGCAACGCAGTAATTATATACATTATTTGAGTAAATTTGACACTTTTTATCCGTACGTATAGCGAATTTAAGATCAGTTGTGCCAAATGGTTGTCCATTAAATACTTTTTATAGGCGTAATGAATTTAAGCGCTTCCACCAATGCTGTTTAGAAATTTGGTGAAATATTTTAAAGAACCTCCCCGATCGGGGCTAGCGTGTAATTGACTATGATCTATAGTTTTGTAAAGAATTTAGCAACTATCTCAAATTTGAAGAAGTTATATTTGGCTTACTATCTTACCTCGAAAGCATGTGGACTGAGTCTAGAGGTCAGCTTATTGTGGCTAAGGTCTAATGTGGTCATCTCCTGCAGATCCCTGAAGCTACCACTCTCTATGAACTCTATGGAGCATCGTGACAGGTTGAGGACCTGTATTGGCAGGTCACCGATCACTGTCACGTTGGTTATGAGGTTCTCGCTCAAATCCACGATTGTAGGCTTCAAGCCTTTCAAATCTGTAATTTTACGTAAAGAAGTGGAGTTTTTAAACCAGTTATTTCAGTGTTCAGTGAAAAGTTAATATAAAAATGTAACTAAACGTTGTAAATTACCGAAAATGCCGAATCGAAAAAGCTTGAAAAGGATTTAAATATAATGAATGCGTAATTCTTGTGTAATTATCTTAAAAGTTACTTTTATTGCCATCTAGCGGACTATTTTTAAACTTTTTTGTTAAAGTTATTAGCAACTCAACTCACCATTCCACTCTTGTAAGGAGAAAAACTCGGTAATACTTAAATCGAAGCAATCCACTTTGTTTTCCTTGCAACTACATTTTCTGCAGATTCCAGTTTCATTCAAAGCTGGGTTCAGGGTTGTAGAGGGAGCTACAGTGGTAGCATCTGTAATAGTGTTTGTAATTAAGCTTCTCGTCGTTAGATGGCGTTACCTGTAGCGTAACTAATTGCTGACTAATACCATAATTAAAGAATGTATTGAAAAATTATAATGAATGAATTAAAATAATTAAGTAAATACAGTTTTTCTTTGTAAAATGCCCGAGTTTGTTTTAAATCTCGTAATTCCGGATCAAACTAATGTAGGTTGGTATTACTCACTTTCCGCGGAACTGACAGCAATCAGTAACAAGGCGCAAGCCAACCACGATATGAGTCGGCCGTCCATTTCACCTGCAAGTACATTACATTATCTATGACTAAGACATATCGGCACCTATTTAAAACAGTATGTAGTTATTTCCCTATACGGATTAGTCTAATAATTATTTCCTGTTACGACGAGCATTTAATAATATAGTTCTTATTACTTAAAATAAACCAATGGATCATACGGTTATAATGTAAAATAACTATTCGGTTGCGTGGGTTTATAAAGCATTTCTCAATGCATCAAACATTAGTTAATATAAAAAACTATAAAGATAGCCTCCATGTTTATTTTTGAACAAGGCGATTATGTTTAAACTATCTAATATCTTTACAAATTACAAGATTATATTATTATCTTGTGATCGATGCAAGGTAAAGCATTAAGAATGTTCTATCTATACTAATATTATAAAGAGGAAAGATTTGTATTTATGTATGTATTGAAATAACGCAAAAAGTACTGGGCCGATTTCAAAAATTCTTTCACCATTAAAAAGCAGCGTTATCGCAGAATAACATATGGTAAATTTATACATTTCACTTGGACAAAGTCGCAAGCAACAGCTAGTCTTATATAATTCCATTTGTTTCTGATTTATACCTGAAGTTCGCAGTCAATTATTTTTTTTATGTTTTTCATGCTGTCACGAAAGATTCTTAATTACACTTTGTTTATAAATTAAAATTTTGTTCGATTACGTCTTCAGTCATATTTTGAAAGACAAAATGTATTCAAAAACCTATAGCCACTAGAAAACAAAGCCACAGCAATGGAACGAGTGTAAAGTAACTATGTAATTATTTTTACTACAGATGTAATTTGTATTATCTTAATTAAACAAATTGATAAGAAACTAGCACATTACAACAATAAAAAACTAAAACCAAACTTAACCTTTTGCCTTCTTCAAGGGATTAAAACATAACACTTTATAAAACACTAATTTGGTAATTATAATTCGAAGCTTTTCTTCAACACTGATTCACCTTTATACATTTGAACACAAAATGGCGGACGACAATGTTTAGTATCTTATCTGTATTTGGTATTATCGCAACAGTAAATGGCTTATCAGTTAACGTACGTCTGTAGTGAAAGCGATTGTGGGTTTTAATTTTAAGTATTGACCTATTTCTTAAGTTTCTAAATCAAGCCAACAAAGATATGTATACCTGGGAAACCTATTTTTTATCCCACTGTATTATTAAGTTATTATTTGATTTTAGTAATAAACTATTTGGATTTGGCTCACGAGATTACCGCCATGTGGCGTATGAAATCGACTACCATTATTCCGATAGTCGTTTCGGTACATGGGCTAATAGCGAAGAGCTTCGATCAACACCTCAAGAAGCTCTCGCTAGACAGTTGAATTAAGGGCCCGATTCAAAAGGCGGTTATTTTAGAAACCGCACGCATAGTGAGGAGTCATCGGATTCCGCAGCCGGTGGCGCTCTATTTTTTACGTAATATGTTTTATTTTATTTTTATATCAAATGTAATGTAAAATGTATTGTATAGAAAATAAGAAATAAAGATATATGGGATGATAACTAACTAATAGTTCATAACTAAGTAACTATAAAGTGTAGAGCGTCTATTTTTAAAAAACAAAACACAATCAAGAAAATCCTACCAACTAAACACCACAAACATTTTGAACGGCTTTGAGTATACCAAAAAAATTCTAATTTTAAACTATAAGTACATATGTTAAATCATGTATTTGAAAAATTATTTAATTTTCAAACGCCTAAACTGGGGCTGCGCCTTTATCTATTATCAACATGCTTTATATCATAGATTGAGTCCACACCTCAATATTTCTGAGAACAATCGCAAAATTTCTCACTACGTCTTACTGAGAACTATCAGTCTTTATCATAAATTCAAATTAATTTTGATTCAGTCATGTTTTGTAAATTTTTTATTAAAAATGTTCAGCAAAAAAGTTAGTTATAATAACAGCCTTACAAAATTAAAAGTTAATGTCGATTTAAAACACATGTTGCTAGAAAAATCTAACATTTAATTAGAAAAGGAACTAAAAGCCGCAATTTAAGTTGTTAAAGTGTCTGTCACCTATGAGATGAATTGTTAGGTTAGAAAACAATCAATCTTTTCAAACCTATGAATGCAAAAATGTCACATTTTGTTCACCCCAACAGAGCATAACAATGAAAAATATATTAAACTAGCAGGTCAATTTATATTGGACTAAAGCAGTGCCTAACAAGTCCCAATGGACAGTAATCCGATGCGCGCCATCTAGCGGCAAGCAGGATAATCACTTGCTAATTGACGTAAATCGTACTTTGACGACAAAACGCGGGAAATTGCTATAAGTGATGCTTTTTCGTAAATTTATATAAAATAAAATGTTAAAACAAATGCAGTAGATTTTATTCATTGATTACGCTTGATATTAATTGTTCATAATACGCTTTTTTTCGGATTTCCCATTTTATTTTTATTACGACTCCTTTTTTTCGTGATGTATTTTTACGCCTTGTAATAAATCTTGAGCTCATAATAAAGTCGATTCCAGAATTGTAAGTCTCTTTTTATGTTTTATCGTGAAAACTGCTGATTGAATACATTTTGTTATCAAGAAACTCTTAGTGAAGAATCCGATCTCTTCGGTTTGGTTGAGTTTGCTTTTGATTTTGATTCTGCCAAAGAGCCTTTGCCTTTTACATTCATAATAATGTTAAAAGAGGAAAATAGCGCGGGAAGATGAAAAATTAAGATATTGTAGTTTTATTAACAAACATAGTTACGATGAAATTATTGTAAATATGCAAAATAGTTTAATTAGTTTATGACCACTTTGTAAAAGTATTATCTGTGAGCCACAGATTAAATAAATAAAACAATTAAGAATTTAAGAAAACATGTGAAACATGGTGCGATACTATAAAAAATTAAAAACGAAATTATTATGTCCAGCTTATTGACAGATATAATGGCTTAATATTCTAAATTATAAAGTTCATGATGTTTATCTATAATCTGTGACAAGTGAATTGGCGGGAACAAAGGTTAAGCAGCGCCTGGGGGCTCCGTGACATTTAATGTTAAGTGCAACCAATTATATCTCCCCTTTTAAAAGTTTGTTGTAGTTTTCGTAAAAACAGTTTTAAAGTAATCACCTTAAGTCATTGACTGAAATTTTAAATGAAAATTTTCACCTAATGTGATACAAATATGTTTAAAATTGGAATTATTTTAAACAAAACATGCGTAGAAACCCAAATAAATCCGCCATACTTTGTCACCGTTTTAATATGATCAGATAATCAAAAGTTTATTAAATAGACACGAGGCATTGCAGGGGTCCTTTACACACAATCTTGTTCAAAGAGAATAATCCAATAGTCTGTAATCAAACATCGCCCTTGACAATAATAGTTCCCGCCATTTTGAATTTTGGAGGTTTATTATGACGCTTAAGTTTATTATCTAAGGATTTATAAAGAAAACTATAGATTTCGGAAACAGGGTATTTGCGAATAAACTGGAAGAAATAAAGAAATTAAGGGCCTGTCCCACCAAATTGTAAGTTGTCTGATAACAATCCAACGTGTAAAATATGCATGTGACGTCATTTTTAAGCTATCTCATCCTCTATCGGCCATCTCTTTCGATATTATCGTGGATGTAGCCAGTCAGCTTAAGCTTGTTATGCAAGGAAACGATGGGGACATAAACCAGAAAGTGGTATTGAATGTGGATGGCTACAAAGGTAGAGGAAGACCAAATAAAGTATAGATGGATTGTGTGAATAAGGATACGCTTAAGAAAGAAGTGGATTCAGATATGGCGGCTGATAGAGATGTATGGAAGAGCAACACATAGTGTGCCGACCCTCCTTAAGGAATAAAGGCAAGTGGATGGAAGCCAATCAGCTTAAATTTGCAATTTTAGTGGGAAATAAAAAAACTAACCTAGGTACAAAAAAATCAAAGTTAAAGTTCTTAAAAGTTTCATATAAAATCTGTAATAACGCTTCTAGATTAGAAAAATCCGTCTAATGTAATCTAAAAGCACTCATGAATCTCTAAATTCCCGTATAATTTGCAACCTTTCAAAGATCGTAGACTTTACCCTAATACCAGTTCGATCCGGCTATAACTGGATCAAAGCGACGCATTCCAGCTTGTAATAACTGCAAATTACAGTCCCGCAAGTTTAACTCTAACGTTGCTCGACGAACAAAACAACTTTATTGCCTTCTGATAAGGTTCAATGTGCTTTAAATTTGTAAAATAAAACGGCAAACCAAAGTTTGGGACAGATTTGAACAATGGCGGGCGCCATATTGAGTTGTCGCGGTTCTAAGAGAAGGTAAGGGCTGGTTTAATACAACTCTTTTAATTTTACGACCTAAAGCTTTCATTTTGATATGATTAGGTTATACTTTGTTATGCAATATAAGTCAATTTTTCTATTTAAATAAAAAACACAATTTAAAAAGAAATAAAAAAGCAATTTTTCTGTCTGCCATTTTAAAAGTTGGACACAATTTTCCTCGTTAAAGTTTCGTACTGAGTCTATCATAAATCATATCTCATACCAACATGTCTAAGAATCATCATGATGACAAAGAAAAAAAAGATCAATCTATTCTTTAACTGCAAAACACATTCACAGAAATTTAATGGAAAAATCCTTTAAAAATTTAATTCCTTAAACGTTATTGCATGACACCATCCCAGCTTTTACTCGTATACTTTGATGTATTTTTGTCGTCGTCCTGACAGGTGCGGCTTTGTCCGGCAGCTCTCTAATCTGGTTATAGCTCTAACCTGCAACGTGCAGCGGTTACGCCATCTGGTGGAGGTATTACTTAAACATTTCAGCTTAAAAAGTTTAATTTAGATAACCTATGCCATTTAAATAATGACTGAAAAATGGTTATATCCAACATCATCGACTTTCCCTTGTCCCTACGGAGGGTCGACACAGTATGCTGCTCTTCCATACATTTCTATCAGCCGTCATATCTGAAAATTTCCTTCTTAAGCATATCCTCTTTCACACAATCCATCCATACTTTCTACGGTCCCTAATATTTTTTAGTATTGGGTAATGATTATATGCAACGAATATGCTTTTATTTTTTTTTTACTGTTTGTTAGAGATGTTGTTTGTTAGTAGTAGTAGGGGCTACGGTTTCAGCTCCACGACTAGCGCGTATTTTGCGTAATAAGACATGGATTACTCCAGCCAACCCATCTCTCCGAAGAACCACAGCAAAATCTTTACGGTACTGTTGATGTTGGTTTTCAAACGCAATAAAGATCGCTGCAGCTAAGTTTAATTCCGTGGTTTTTGATCGCCAATTCAAGACAATCTCTTGTTGTCTTGTCAAATTATTATGACGAAAACGTAATACCATAGAATTAATATCTCTGTATTGCCCGCAACCCTCTCAGGAGCGGGGAAACATTTAACAATACGTGAATTAGTGGCAAATTGTCCGTGAGATTTGGAAGTAACAAGGTTACGTAGGCCGTCGCCCGACGGACGCGTAAACTTTGTTAGGGCGGTGTATACGGCACACGTTGTTACTTATCGTACAAATTGTGTTTTTGTGTGCATGATAAAATTAATATGGACTCTTATTGTTTTCCCGCCTTTTAGTACTGTTGAAAGGGTTGTTTTGAGGTTATCTTTGTTACGATATATTAAATATAATGTTATAAACGGCTGGGCCGATTTTAAAAATTCTTTCATCGTTAGAAAGGTAATTTATCTGTGTGTAAAACAGGCTTTTTTAATATAACGCGAACAAAGCCGCGAGCAACAGCTATTAACCTATGATGTTAATACTTAAAATTTGCCTCAAAGATAAAGATTGTTCATGTAACTAAATGTAAGAATAGTTACTTTAATATTTTAGTTAACCAGCGCTTGACGACCGTCCTATTTTATTTTTAGTGTAATGTGGCCTAAAGATGGGATAGATTTACATATTATAATATTTTTGTTAGATTTTAAGAAGTCTTTTTAAAAGTCTTGGCGGCCCAAGGTCTACGGCGCGCTGTGTACGCCCCAACAAGCCATCACACCACGCTACTCCTAAAATTGCGTTCTACACAGTCACTCGTACGATGTTCAGAGTGGACAAGAAATCTAAAAACAATGCAACTGGCCAGAAACAATTTGATAAACATAGGAAATAAAGGGGATTTAAAAAAAAACAAGTAGATAATTTAATTATTTAATCTAGAACACCTTAAACACCAAAGTATTATACAATCTAAATCTCGTATTACGACTATTTAGTACTTATATTTATTCTTTAAAAACTATACACATCCAATTTAACTATTCAAAATTGTTTTAAGAAAATGAGACATTTTGAGTTTCTTTGAATTCTAATCTTAATATTTCTATTATCTATTCGTTTGTTTTTGATGAAAAACATTTTATTATAATATATCTTAGACGCGCTTTTATATTCCGAAAATGTTATGTTAGCTTTTGTCTAATTACACTCTACCTTTTTATCTTGAAGAAAAACGCTAAATCAATACCATAAAACTTGGTACATCACAGAAGACTAGATCTGACTAGATTTATTTCTAACATATACAAATTAAGTTTATAACCTATAAACTATTTACAAGATAACATTTTAATATTACTAATATTGCACGTAACACTATTGTTAATACAAATAAAATTTTATGAAGTTAGTTACATTAAATGAGTACTGTAAAGCCAAAAAAATGACTAAATTATATTCTTTTTTTATGAGAAAACTGGCTTTAGCCCGCGACGTCTGCGTGAAAAAAAACATTAGTATGTAGCCAACGTGTTCTTCCAAACTTTCTTCAACTCTGCCAAATCATCGAGATCCGTTCAGCAGTTTATGCTATAAACTCTAACAAACATCCATCCATCTAAACATTCTCATTTATAATATTAGTAAGAAGATATGTATGAGAAATTGATTCTTGGAAAATAAAACATTGCTATACAAATTTCTAAGCGGTACTGGTAATGTGAATTCTAGTTTATATAAACAATTGTTTTTAATTTATTTGGCAGATTTAATAATAAACTAATTTAAATATTATACCTAATACAACACTAGCTACAGTCTGATTATTTACAGCGCCATCTATCTCATAAAAATGTTTGAATTATCCTAAATAATTTATCGCATTTACGTGCCGCTATTACCGTAGTGTTGTGCGTAGTTTGGCTCGCCGACGATATCGATATCGCTATCGCTGTGTTCAGTTTCAGAGTCCGATGTTTGAGTTGTCGATATTCTAGAATCCTCTGCCTGTAAATAAATAAAAAAATATACTGTCTGTCCAATATTTATTTTATATAGGTGATTTTCAGTTAATTCGCATGGTTTTTTTATACGACTTTTTTCAACTGTCTGTTATTAGACGTATTTTTTTTAATATAACAGCCTTACCTTTCGGCTTTCCCCTAATTGCGTATGATGCTTCGTAGTGAAGTCTACCGCTGCTGCACCTACAAACAAATGTAACTATATAGTTATATAGACTTTTAATGTAAATGGTTTTGATAATGGCTTTAAATTGAAGCAACTTAATACTTGGATATAAACACCCTTAAATAAGGCAGAGACATACTTCTCCTACTTTGTCTGCACCCACACCATTCCCCATCTTTATTACTCAAACGATCCGCGACGTTTTTCAAAATAAGCCCATAACTCAAGTCATTAAAGTTGAACATTGCTCAGCTATTATTCCAAGAAGTCGGTCGCCATGGGAACGAAGACGTCAGCCATCTTGTCGACAAAATCAAATTAGGGGCAACGTCTTGAGTTGTGGCGCGAAAGCGGCGATTCCAAATTCAATTTCCCCGCCTTTGAGGTTTGCTACTCTCAATTAGGAAATAGGGTTGCCAGACGATTAACATCCATTTACCTAGCCTCAACTAAAAATATAACACAAATTCAGAACATTGGTATTAAAAAAATAACAATAACATAAATGTTTAATATTTTAGTATTTACAAAGAGCAAACGTAACCATGTAGTTTAACAGAGCTGCATTTTAGAGAAAATTCGTAAATTAAATGTGTGCGACGGCAACGTAATATAGAATATAAAAACCTTAGAAGAGAAAGTGAGTAATAAAGATCGAGTGCATTCGACGAGCTCTTGTTAAAGTCAGTTTATATGTGTAGTTGATAATATTAATAACTAACTAACCCTCAACGTTTGCCGACGTTTAAAATGATTGAACTATTCCATCAAAATACATCAATTATTAAGTAACATCATACTTTTTATATAAATATCTTTACGTAACGTCTCTGATTAAAACCTTCACAATTAAATTCACCTACAAAATGTACAGATATTATAAAAATTTACGTAAAGACAACTCTACTCTTAGATACTCTGCAGCGATTGAACTTCGAACAATTTCCCCTAACTATTGGCAATTGTTTGAAACTGGCAACTTGCGCCCACTCGTAATCATGTTCATCGAAACTTGGTATTTCTTGAGAGTTGATCAACTATGCTTTAAAACTTGAACAGATACACGAACTTTGATATTGTAAACATGGATGCAAGAATTTGGTGAATTATTAAAACTGCTACAGACTTAACGATTTTGAGCAGTTTATACTCTATGGGTAAAACGAAAAAAAAATATATTAAACATATTACAAAACAAGAGAGGAACAATGCTGGTGCTTCTAATGCGACACGACGACCAGGATCACCATAATAGAAGATAGAAGAAATATGGGAAGACAAAGTACAACATACATCCAACAGATAAAGAAAAATTGGCCTCGTGATGAATTAGGAAGTCAAGACAATCAACAAGATGGTATAAAGGAAGAATTGAAACCATCGACAAAACAAGAGGTAGTTTTTAAGTTACAATAGAGACTGTATAAATGTTTAGGTAATAACCAACGACTCCGTCCGCGTGGAATTAAAAAAAAACAAAAGTGAACACCCTATATGTTCTTTCAGACTATCCTCTACGTCTATACCAAATTTCATCGAAATCCGTTCAGCCGTTTAGGCTAAAAACTGTAACAAACATCCATCCATCTAAACTTTCGCATATATAATATTAATTATGATAACCGCATCAAAACATTCAAACAACAAAAGTTGCTTCTAGATACATTAAATTCTCCATTCCCCCATATAGTAGAATTATCTTACCTCTCTGCTGTTGCTGTTTCCTCATTTGCTTCTTGTGCTTCATGCGGCGGTTCTGGAACCATGTCTTGACCTGCGTCTCCGAGAGGTTCAGTGCGCCCGCCAGCTCTACGCGTTCAGGCGTCGACAGATAACGCTGGGATTCGAAACGTTTCTCTAGACCTATTTGAAATAACGAAATCTTAGTTATAAAAAGAAAAAGAAAAAAAAAACATACAGATGAATTGAGTACCTCCTTCTTTTGGGAAGTCGGTCAATAATAAAACATGACTTTGCAATGCGTCTAAAATAAACTATAGCTATAAAACAAATGAATTACAAAATCTCACTGAACCCGCAAGTCGCAGCAGCTACAAAAATAATGTCCCCGCGGCATTCATAGTCAACCAAAACGCGTTAGGCCAACGTGGTTGTCTATGACCCAGTCTCCTACTTAGGGTAGATTCCGAGTTAGGTTACGGTGATTCACAAGATCCATGATGTTTTAATTTCTCACTAAAACTGTTGATTATATTTTCTTGCCTTTCAGATTTACAGATAATACAATAATAATATGACCTTAATAAGGCTACCAACCCGTGAGCTGAGGGTCAGAGAAAACAGTCCTCGCCTTCCTCCGACGGCAGTGCTTGAGGGCCGACAGCGACAGCTCCGACGGCGTGAATAGCGCGTGGTACGGCACGCCTGCATATATCACAATATTCTTGTAACAGTGTTCATCAAATTGATTACTATGATCTTTAGTGCGCAATTCTGTAAATGGTCTATTTTTTATTATTATGATGGCAAACGAGCAAGCGGCCACCTGAAATCGCTGAAATTGCAATCTTTTGAAATCGCAAAATTCATTCCAGTGGTTAGAATAGCTAGAACAAGGAGCCCTTTATTTCTAAACATTCTAGTAAATAATATACAAGTATCTATGAGATTGCCTTTAAACTTTTGTAAGGAAAATAATAGCGGAGAATAATTTTTTTTTAAGTGAACATCATGCTACGTAGACTTAACAAAGCCAAGATCAATGCAAAGTACAAAATATTAAAAAACTAGCTTTCATCCTTGCACCCGTACTTGTGTAGTTAAAAAATACAAAAGATAGCCTATCTGCTCTTCCAGACTATCTACATCTGTGCCAAGTTTCATCGAAATCCGTTTATTCGCTTCGGCTACAAACTCTAACAAACATCCATCCATCGAAACTTTCGCTTTTATAATATTAGTACGACATCTATATTAACTTTTTTTAAGTAATTATATTACACGCATGTTAAATATTACTTCCTAATAGTATTGTGCACTGTAAATAGATTTAAAACTAACTAAAAGCATTATTAGGTATTTGCGTTCCGTACTTTTCGGCCGTAACAGTCTTTTCCTTCAGTGCGACTGGCAAGATTCAATATCTCTAACTTAGGTATTATTCCGTTTTAAATAATAATACCAAACTAAGTTGACTTTTAAAAGAAAACTAAAAGTTCTTTTATTATCTTTTCAAAAACGTTAAACTCATAATGTATAATACTATTATTAAATTTAAATTTTTATCTCTTCCCTTGACTATTTTCTCTCTCTTTTAAAACAGTTAACATATTATGCGCACATTCTTTTTGTTTCTATTCCAATAATGACTCTTTTAATCTGTGTTGTAGTTCTGTATACATTTTATTTTTTATAACATGTTTATGTACGAATTTTTTCTTTCATTTTATTTTTACTCATGTGTATGTGATAATTTATACCTATCCACTGCTACTACTGACGTGTGGATGATCCCAAGGGTTCTCGCGGAAGATCAGCGCTGGTACTTCAATAGGAGCATCCAGCATTTATAGCTGAGCGAGGGCCCAATCCGGTCAGCATTGCAACGCTAATTTTAAATATTCTTTTTTTTTTTCATTTCATTAGTTATGTTTCTCATTATTTTGTGTTTAATATTTTTTTTGTTCATAATTGTAGTGTTGACAAAGGATTAAACATTATTTTATTTTATTTTTATTTTTATTTTATACTACTATGTAAGTAAAAGTGATTGAAATTTTATAAACTAACCTAGGAACACTTTTCATGGTAATTTATAAAGTGGTTTTAAAAAAAATATTTGCAATGCTTTTAGTAATAAAAACTTACCTTGAGATAAAAAGTAAGGCGTTTCCACAGACTTATAGGTGTTCGGAGTATGTAAATATGCACCTAGAGCTCCCATAGCCACGTGTAGATAGGACCCCTCTCTGCCCGGGATATGGGGCCTGACTTCTCCGGGCACCGGAAAGAAAGGCTTCGGTTCTGGTCGGTCGTAATCATACCTCCTTGGATCCGGCACTGGCTGTTTGAAACCGCGGCTTTGGCCTCTATATAAAATATCCTCGATTAAAAAAGACGTTTTCGAATTTTGCTCTTGACGATGCGAGTCCATAGGAGAGTCGCTTCTTGTTTCTTGTTCCATTTTTGAAAACGTTAGTTAGTTTTTAATTTTGTGAATCATTTTATTTTAATCCAAGATTTTTTTATTGTTTTAATAAAACGGAATAATTCGGATGAGTTTTGGTAACGTGATTTCTTAGAACTGCGTAATTATTCACTTTTAAAAATTTATAGATTCTGTTATTCGAAATTTAAAATATGTAATGAAAGTCACTGCTTTTCTTCAAAAAAAAAAAGAAAGTATTGACAGGTAAAAGAGCGCGAAATAAAAAATTTAAACGATTTAATGAAAACCGCGATTCCGTCGGTGGTTTGTATGATCGATAATAATTACGTATGTAATTTGTCAGTTTGCTCGTTGTTTTGAGGAAACGAGGCGATTTGGTCCGCGGGCCGGGCTAAACTGTCGCGTTCGGGATGATATGGGAGGGCCGGAGGGAGGTGCCAGTCGGAGGGATGGGGTGGCAACCCTCAGGGGTGCCTATCTCTGAGATTTTAAGAAGTGTGAGGTTAATATTAATTCTGGGGTTTGCTTTTTATCGGGCATTTAATTTTTGTGTTTCTGTCTATTTTTACTTACGAATTTTTTACCTTTGTAATATACATTTAAACTATTTTTTTAAACAATACTCTGTGTATGTTTTATATTTTAAACGTTCACTTTTTAGTTTTTGGTGTAATTTGTAAACATATAAATATTAAACTATTTATGTATCTACTCGTTCTGTATTTACGTTCATTGTAAGCTAAATTCACAATTATTATCATAGTTATTTTTTTTTAATTTTTATTTTCAACTTCTACAGACTCTCGGTCCGAACTCTTTTTTGCACAGTTTGTTTTATTTTTTTTTGTTGCGTAAACCGTATATCATTAGTGAGTTCCCTTTTTTTATATCATACAATTATACTACTGCTTTTACTTATACTAGCGCGAAAGTTGTCAGTGGCGACGGGTGTATCTTATTATAGTCATATTTCATTAATCTATATTTAGGGGTTTAGGATTGAAATGAATATGTATTCCAAACTACGTATTTAGTATTTACAAGGCTGCTATTCTATTACAAAGACTAGCACACAGAGTGCAGAATTTTATAATTTACAAACATGTTTAAAAAACCACAATTATTTAAAACCAAAAAAAAAACCTTAACCAGTATTTTTAACTATAAAACACAATGTTTCTCTTATTGTCAGTGTTCTGTAGGTATGGAAAATAATTATTTAACAAATAAACGATTACTGAGTCTCTTATCTTAGAACTTTAGATAAATCTAAAGGTCTTAGTAACTATAAAGCAACTTTAAAAGGCTTATTGACTAAAATTGGTTCGTAATTTATACAAATATTATAAAGCGGAAAGATTTGTACATTTGTATTTTTGTATGCAAAGAAATAACTCAAAAACTACTGGGCAATCAAAAATTCTTTCACCGTTAAAAAGCTACGTTATCAGTGAGTGATATAGGCTTTGTAAATTAACGCAGACGATGTTGCAAGCTACACCTAGTATTGAGAAAAAACATTTTCGTCTCACAGGTTGTTGACAATTTTGTTCCATTATATTAAATGCTTAGTACTAATATTGTGTATTCACAGCATTGTGTCCGTGTTCTAAGTGGGTGTATGTGTGCGTATCGTTCAGACGGAGGCTTGAATTACTGTAAGACGACGTAACCCGCTCGACGGATCATCCAATGCAAAGCGGGCGCTACTTGCACTAACACATCTTGATACTTTACAATATTTTAATTTTTTTTTTGAAAAAACATAAGAATATTCATATTAACTTTCTAATTGATATAATTAGTGTCACTGTTAATCAATATTAAAACATATTAAACTATATCGCTTTAATTGTTTTGGAAAATCAGTTTCTTTTACAATAAACTAGATTGCCGCCGCGACTCCGTCCGCGTAGAATTAAAAAAAAGTGAGTAGCCTATGTGTTCTTCCAGACTATCATCTACATATATGTCCAATTTCAACGAAATCCGATCAGCCATTTAGGCAGTAAATCTAACATCCATCCATCCATCTAAACCTTCTAATTTATAAAATTAGTAGTCATAATGTAAAACAATGGAAACTGATTTTTACTTATTTATTCTTCCCATATATCTTTATTTCTTATTTTCTATACAATACATTTTACATTACATTTGATATAAAAATAAAATAAAATATATTGTATAAAAAATAGAGCACCACTGGCTGCGGAATCCGATGACTCAAGCAACCAGTGGTCAGGGCTGCAGATACAGGAACCTCCTCACTATTCGTGCGGTTTCTAAAATAACCGCCTTTTGGATCGGGCCCTTAATCCAACTGTCTAGCGAGAGCTTCTTGAGGTGTTACTTATTTATATTATTAAGCCAGTATTATTTCATATTCTGGAGTTAACAGAATTATCTTGGGAAATATTTTTATAAAACACTCAAGTACTTATTTTAGTGTAAATCCAATCTTGTAATATGTAGATGTTCTTTATTATAAGCAACTATAAAATAAAAATATCACTAAGTATCAAGACTTATAACTCGGTTATCTGTGAGCGATCCATCCCCTGATATCTCACCCTAATCCGGCGGCAGGGCGGAGGCTCTGCCGTGGCCAATGGCGGGCGAGGGCGCGCGCCCCCAGTGCCCTCAGCCAATCCCGCCTCGCCAATTACGGATCAAAAGCTTACAGATTTGGGGTCACTTTCGACCGTTTGCCGTTTTGTTAGCGACGTTTATTTTCGACTAAAGCTATGTCATGTCACCCACTCTATTATACAAATATATGACTGGAATCGATTAACTTTCGTAGAATGAATATTAAATGTTTATTACAGTAATGAATTTATTTTGTATTAACTAGTTACTTTTTAAATTGTTTACTAAAATAGACTAAAATAGTTAGATAAAATAAGATAAATCTAGGGATTTTTCTATAAATAATCAGTATTTACTTAATAGGTAGGTTTAATTGGTTTTTTTTTTTAATAAACGACTACTAATTGTAGTTACAGCAAACTAAATAAGAAACTTTAAAATAAATTATTTTAGTACCTATAGTAACCTTTCAGGTTTAAATGTTCGCTATTGCATATAGCATGTTTATCTAAAAATAAATAATTAGCCGCATTTAAAACACTATTTGCGTTAAATCATTTATTATTAACTAGCTTTCGCTCGCGACTCCGTCCGCGTGGAATTAAAAAAAAACAAAAGTGAGTAGCCCATGTGTTCTTCCAGACTATCCTCTACACCTGTACCAAATTTCACCGAAATCCGCTCAGCCGTTTAGGCTACAAACTAACAAACATCCATCCATCCATCCATCCATCCATCCGTCCATCTAAACTTTTATCTTATTATTAGATTAGATTAAATTAGTTAGAAGTTAGATGTTAAAAGTACTAAGAAATTATTAATAGATTTATAGAGTAACTTTTTATATTCTGTCTTTAGATTTTTATTAGAAGACGCTAGATTTCGTACATCAAGGGAATATTTTTAATTTAAATACAGCGGTCATAGACCTCTGTTTATCGTTTGAAGCTTTATCATATATAGGTGTTTAAAGAAATGGCGCTCTTTTACTTCTGTATTATTAATTTTAGGTTATGTTTTACAAGTTGGATTAGCTGTGATTTGGTTTTGATTAATAAACTAAAAGAAAAGATTACCAGTACAATAAACTACAGGGACTTACTTAACGAAATGTAGTTAGTTACTATTTTTTTTAATAAATATTCTTTATGGTATAATCAATAAATACAGCATCAATACTTAACTAGGAAATACTGTGTTTAAACAGCCAATTTTTTCCCTTTCAGGTACACTTTACAACTAAAAGAAAAAAAAAACACAATAAAGTTAAGTTTTATAATCCATGTCGGTTTTATACGCTTTGTAACATCTAATTTTGAGGTTCATCGAAATCAATGCAGCATCTGATTTATTAGATTCAATTACAAAATAACTGTTTTACAAGTTAATTCGTAGATACAAGTGTAATTCCGCTAACAACAAATCTCATCGCAAGATTTGCTAATTGGTGTAACGCCGAGAGTTGGGCCCTTGTCGGCTATCGCACGTCAGCGCAGTGGCAGAGTGGCAGCGCGCCTTTGCCTCTCCAACATTCTCCCGCTAATGACTCTGTGACTTATCTCACTGACAGCTGTCATCTCGTTGACAGCGCGCCAACGTCGTGTAAGGAAATATTTAATTGTTATAACTGTAGATAATCCTTCAACAATTTTACACTAACGAGTTAATTTAATAAATATATAAAAATACGTAATTTTTAAACTGACAGAAGGAGAGATACAGAGATAGAAAAAGACTACAGAGTAAGTAACTTTGATCATCTGGATGATTTCATAATTTAGACTTTTGTGTTTGAGACTGTGTCTTCTGTTTTTAAAAATATGAGAATATGTTGCGTTCGAAAGTTACTAGAGGACAAAATACACCAAATTGTAACCTCCCTGTGTCTGTATAAAATATACCTAAATGTATGCAAAGTCGTGGGAAAAGTTGCATCTCTTTATAAAAAATCTCTAATCTAATATGAATAGCTTCAAGCGCTCTTACTACGTAAATAGTAGCTAATTAGGGTTGTTCGCGCACTAACCTGAGGAGGTTGCCACTGATTGCCGATACAACACGTACGATTTAGTGTTGTGTCAACACGGACCACGGAGGGGGCAGCTCTACACATATTCAGGAAAACTAGATGAGACAGGAGCATTATTGTTTCTTAAATGTTATTTTTATCGTACTAAAAACATGATTTTTTCATGTCTGTTCCATTGCGATTGTTAACTTAAATGGGTTAGGTATAAAAAAAAAATAATATTAAATTAACAAGGTAGTATTATTTTCCGAAATATTGTAGAGTCAAATGGAAGTTTTTTTTTTATATGAGAAGAGGGCAAACGAGCGGCGGGAACACAAAGGTGGTCAACGACGCCCATAGACATCATAGGCCCATAGTCAGGAAATTTTGACAGATTCTGGTTTTTACTTTC